ATATATATATATATATATATATATATATATATATGAACACATACATATAGATATGTACATGTATCATGCAGATCATTATTCGTTCTTTAATAAAGAGGAACTTGTTCTTGGTCTCTCTTATAACTTTGTTAATTATGTCTTTGTGATAGGCGTTACTAACGAAAATTCATTACCAACAGGATTATCTTGCTTAAGTAAAAAAAATTAGTACCCCGCACCATTACTTTCTTGCTAATTTTATTTCTCTACTTTCGATTTTATTTTATGGTTTTCACTTAATAATAGAAGAGAGTAATATTATTTTGCATCATATTTAAAGAGATATATTTTCGTAATAAATTTAATTCTTAATTGGGATTATCAAATAATATATTATTTCAAGATTTACACTATTTCTCAAGTATACTAATTAAATTTCTACTAATTAAATAATTTACATAAATTTATATGATACTTTAACGTTACTATTTTACATTCTAAAGATAAATATTTTCGTAATAAATTTAATTTTTAATTAAAATGTTCAAAAATATTTTTTTTTTCTAGATTTACAAATACTACTCGCCTACTTAATTTATGTAAAAAAAAGAAAAAACATTATTCAACGTATTCAAAGAATAATTTAAAATAATTCCAATCGCGTGTTGGAATATTTGAATAAGAATAACCTACAAATGTACTATAATAATTATAATAATCTATGTATTTAGGTCTACAGTTATACGTAGGAATGTCCTAGATATCGATAGAATCAAAGAGAGAAGAAAAAACAAAATAAAGTAAAGGGGAGAGTTGAGAAGAAAGAACTTACGTCCATCAAGAAGGTAATGGTTGCGTTACTAAGGACACGTAGCATAGGGGTTGCGTGGGCGTAAAACAAGGACATTCGGTTAGCCAACTCATTCCCAACAACGAGGTCCCTCTCCGCATTGTCCTGTCTTGTCAACGATGCCCTCGTTAACGTTCTACGATAATAACTAAAGTCATTTTGGATTGCTGGTGTTTTCATTTTGTGCTCGTCGAACTTCAATACGAATTCGAGGATTTCGGCTAGTTGTTTGACCAATGCTTGTTGGGTTTCCAAATGTTGCGTTGGTGTTAAGTTACCGGAACATAATTGTCCTAATATTTTTGGTACCACGCTTTCTAAAAATTAAATTAAAAATAAATTTGAATAAATATATTTAACTGTTTGTATTAAAAATATATTTAATTGTTATTTTTTTTCCTTTTTTAAAGATCATTTGGTGGGTGTACATCTTATTTTGTAACATGGAAATAAAATAGAAAGAATAGTAAAGGAACTACTTTTGGTATTACACTTTTGTTTATATTAAGAATATTTTATTTTGTCACAACATGGAAGAAAATAAAAAGAAAGAATTTAAACAAAAAAAAAATGTACATACCTAATTCCAAAGAAAATTCGTAGAATCTTTTGAGCTTTGCTACGAGGGGTGCTACGGTCAAATAAGCTTTTCGTTGGCACTCTTCCGTAGGGGCCGATATTGCTTCTCTTATTTCTTTACCGGCTCCTTTGTAACATTGAATCTCTTCTAAAATAGATTCGGAATTTTTCAGGACCCTTTGAACGGCATCGAATGTCTCCCGTTCGATATGCGATGGTTGTGCGTCTAAAATCATAAATTAACAAATCAATTTTTACATAATTATTATTTCAAATTAATTGCTTTAAATTATTTAATATCAATTATTTTTAAAATCATATAAAAAATATTACAAGTTCCAGAAAAAAAAAAGAAAAATAACACAGATGTGAAAAAAGAAATATATTAATTTTAAATATCAAACAAATAAAAGCAAAATAAATAAAAATGAATTGCAACTTACTCTCGAAATCCAAAAAGACGTCGTACTTTTGAGGCGTGCAACAGGTAGACTCGTCCCGAGCCAGAAGACTCAAAAGCTTTCCCATCCTGAATCCCCAGTACTTTTTGGTCAGGATCGACTTACAACAGAAAGGGCATCTAAAATGATACAAATTAACGCAACTACTTTATCCAATAATCTGTATTAAAAAAAAAAAAATAAAAAAAACAAACAAGAATAAAAATTATACAAAAAAACCTACGAAATAAAAGTCAACGACCTAAAATCGAATACTCAACGATATATAAGTTAATACTAACAAAATACGTATACCTAAAAATAGACAATAAATCCAAAGAATGATAAAAGATTCAAGAATTGAAAGCCAGACGGTAAAGAAAGTATAAAAAGCTCTTTTCTCGATAGACAGCTTGGCAGTTATGAAACGTTAATCTTGCATAGAGGAGATACGAACTGGCGCGTTACCTTCGAAAGGGGTAAAAGGGGAGGAAGAGTAATAGAAGGAGAAGGTGGAGGAGGAGGAGGACAATGTATAAAAAAAGAAAAAGAAAAAGAAACGTAGTGGGAGAAGTTTCTAGTTATCTGTATCGAAACGGCTGAATAAATGGATTCTGCGAACTCGTCGATGAGGGATGAACCTTCCGGTAATTCCGACAAATGAAACTCGCTGCTGACCTCACCTGAATGTAGTCTGATAATGGAAGGAAGAGGAAGAGGATTAAGTGCAGCCGGAGAAGGAGGTAAAGGAGAATGAAGAGGAGATAGGAAGAGGAGGATGAAGAGGGGGTGGTACCTTCAAACGATCTTTCACGAACCTATTAGCTACGAAATAATCGACTAAAAAGGGGAGAGAAGAACCGATCCCCCAAAGATAATTGCTAAATTTATGGTGGCACGTGAATCGATTAAAATTACAATCAATCCTGGTCTACCACACACTTACACACAGCCTATGAATTGCCGACATGTATCATTTCCGTTCGAGTATAGTTACTTATAGTTAAAATTGTATATGAATATACACGAGTATAGAACACATACGCATACACTTGAATTACATTACATGGAATTAATATATTCGTGTTAATGTTTGTTCAACGATTGACACGACACGATTTAACTCGTTGAGAATAATTAGAAAATAATTATTATCTTTATGTATGTGTTTGAACATTTGTTTTTTAATCAATTGGATAAAATGTTAAAAGCAATATTTCTTTAGTTTTGTTAGTGTTAGTGTTGTTATTATTATTAGTATTATTATTATTATTATTAGTGGAGAAATTGATGCAAACATCTGTCTTCTGTAACCATTCGCGTAGTCTCGCAGGTGTTATTATTGCCATACGTTAATATACACTCTAAGGAAATTGTATTTACGTGCTGCTGCTGTTGCTGTTATACAGCATTTTGCTTTTATAAAATACTCGATCGATAATACTTTACGTGACTTTCTTATCTGAAAGTTCCCAGTCATGGTTAAATCTTCTCTCTCTCTCTCTATTTTTCTTTTTCTTTCTTTCTTTCTTTCTTTCTTTCTTTCTTTCTTTCTTTCTTCCTTTCTTTCTTTCATACGTATGGTGAAAATAATTACATGTGACACACAACATAAAAGGGAACGAATTACGGTAGTTCTAACGGTGAATGATTTAAATACAGGATGTCCCAAAAGTCGCTTTACCTAAATAAGACTTAATAAAAGGACTAATAATTAATTGTTTGTAGTTTTAATTTGTATCATTATAAAATATTGTGTATTCATTTCGAGATACTCGGTAAGGGTATTATATATTATTTTATAAGGTGTATTATATATATATATTATTTTTTGATTAAATAATTAGTATAATTTTATAGGAGTATTATATATATATTATTTTTTGATTAAATAATTAGTATAATTTTANTATATATATATTATTTTTTGATTAAATAATTAGTATAATTTTATAGGAGTATTATATATATATTATTTTTTGATTAAATAATTAGTATAATTTTATAACGGTATTATATGTATTAATTTTTGATAAAATAATATTATAATTAATTATAATTTATCTCTAAAATAAAAATTTTTTAGTTAGAGTTTTGCTAAAAAAAAATATGACAATACTGCAAATATTTGTTTAAGAAAAAATTTCTAATTTTTTAAGGTCATTAAAATAAATTTTAGGACGCACTAAGCAGTAATAAAATATTCTATATTTTTTATATTTTTTATATTTTTTACATTTTTTTATATTTTTTTTTATATTTTTTTTAATATTTTTTTTATATTATGCTTTGTAAACGAGAATCTCTCCTAATATCTATTACAACGAAGAATTTTGCCCTCATAAGAGAAAGAGAGAGAAAAAAAAAGAGAGAAATAAGTTCGCAACACGCAAGAGATCTAAAATTATACGCAATGAAAATCTTGTCGAGAGAAATTTCGTCCTCCTCTCAACACTTATTTACACTTACTTACACGTACACGTTACGTACACACCTCTATACACATATGCATGCACTTATGCATACATCGCGAATGATTTCACAAGTGTATTGAATTATGCTTATAACGAGAAATTTAAGCACGTAAACAACGTTTGTTTACTAAATCTTTCATTAATAAATGTTTCTATAAATTTATTTATATAATTAATTATTTAATGTAATAATACAGATAATAAGTTGTCCCAAAAGTTTCTTTCTTTTTAATAATTCTACTGGCACAATATTTTTTATGTTGAATAATTTAAAGTATAATAAAAGATAAAATAAAGTAGAATCGATATTTTTTAGTAAAAATAAAACGTAAAATATGTAAAAATAAAAAAAATATATTAGTTATACAATATTGTTCAACTTATCATCAAAAAAAGGAAGAAATTTTTGAGACGACCTAATATAAATTACATAATAATAAAAAAATAAAATAAATAAAATAAATATATAAAAATAATAATAAACAAAATTACACAAATAATATGATAATATGATAATATAAATATAATTAAATAAATTAATTAATTAACAGTATTAAAAAGAAAATATTGGAAAAGGTGTGTATATGGATTCTATGGATTATTGTTAATTAAATTATTATGGTGTTGTGTAGTTACGTTAAAACGAACCTAACTCCATCAACGTTTTCTTGATTAATCGCACGTTTATCGTACTCGAGATGCTCGATGCAAGTCTACTCGAAGGAATCGTGTTTGAAATTCTATCGTCGATCGGTTATCGATCTTCCACGATTTATATGAACTCTCTTTCTATTTCTATATACGTGTGTGTTGTGAATAGCAACTTCAATTCGTTATCGAGGTTAAGATTAATGGACCGATACGTTGGATTTTTGATCTGTCTTATTATCGATAATAACAACTAATCCGATAAAAAAAAAATATATATATATTGAAAAAATAATCAAAAGTCAACTATTAATAAATTTTTTAATCATTTGTATGTTCAAGAATAAATTTTTGAAATTATTTTTTACATAAATGTATTTATTATTAAACACGATCAATGTTAAAAATGAATCATTGAAATAAACAAGACCAATTATCGAATATTTCTAATCAATTCAAAGTAATACTATCAATGGAATTAAAATAGGATAAATCGATGAAACTAGTACGTTGCTCTTTACGAACTGGTCTTCTAGGAACAATGAACTTTAGTGGTTATTTTCCGATCACATATATGTGACTCTATCTGTGTCATCCAAAATTAAAATTTAAATACGATTCAAAATGATGTATTCAAATTTGACAGTACCGAAAAATAAAACAACATAAATCATAATAAAAAAAACTAAAGAAATTTTTTAGATAAATAGCAATATCAACGTAGAATAATTTTAATATTAATAATAAATAAAACCAAGAAAAAATTATACGATTACGTACCCAATTTAATCATCCTAAAATATATTTACAAATCTAACAAACAAACTCTACTATACAATCGTAGTAATAGTAGTAATAGTAATAGTAATAGTAATAGAGTAGACAAAAAAAATAAAAAAATAAAACGACAATCCTTGTGTAATAAATTAGAAAAATAAAACACAAGTATGAAAAGTATTTTTGTTTCACGAATTAACGAGACTCACCGTTGCGAAATCGCGTCGTAATAATTTGTAACGACGACGCATGATATTTTTATTAAAATGTTAAATAAAAAAAAAATAAAAAATAAAAATAAAATGATTATATGTATCGTATAGGTAAAAAAATAAAATAAAAACGTTGTTGAACACCGGTCGAGAGAAAAGAAAAAAGAAAAAATAAATAGAACAAATGTCACACTAAGGATGATAAAAAATAATGGGAAGGTGGTGTTAACGCGTCGTTAGAAGTTAGAGCAACAACTGTCAGTCGGTGCAAGCGGCCATGTTGCAGCAGAACACGGCGTCGCGACGCCGCCGGGGTCTTTCTAGTGGCGCGGGGTTCGAGTCCTCTTCCTTATTTGGTAAACGGCGTCGGTGGCGGTACGTTCGCGCGAAAAATCAATCGCGGGGGTTGGTTTGTTTCCCTTATTCAACGAGAAGATGGCGTACCATTTCCCTTAGCCCTTTTCTCTCTCTCATCTATATATATATATGTATATTCAACTATACGAACGCGCCCGAATTTCGAATTCCATTCCATTCCATTCCCGATGGTGGATCAGTATGTTCTTACCAACTCAATGTTTAAATTTAGTTTCTTGCTATCCAGGTCCTCTCCAACTCTCTCTGTCTCTCTCTTTCTCTCTTTATGTGACCTCAAGTGATCTCAAACAAGCCTGCTATCTATCTCTTCTAGATTTAACAAAGTATTTTAGATATTTTTGAAGGAAACTATTTATCTACCCCTTCTTTGGGCTTCAATTTTTCTTTTTTCTTTTTTCTTTTTTCTTGTGTTCGTATGTTTTTTTTTCTTTCTTTTATTTCTTTTTTTTTTGGTTAAACCATTTGGAAGTTAATTCGGTATTGCTTTTAAAACTTTGACCGGTGTAAAAAAGAGACTGTTTTGGATTGATTGGATACATTTTTAGTCTTCATGTTTATTTTATTTTTTTTTATTTTTTGTTAAATAGTTTTAAAATCAATTTTAGTCGTTTTTAAAACTTCGATTGATGTAAAGAAATTTTTCAAATTGAT